ATCAGTAACACCCCCCACCCCCACCACTTATGACACCCAGAAATGTCTGCAGACCTTGCCAAAAATTACCTAGAGGGCAAAATCATCCCTGGTTGAGAACCATGGCTGTAATGCAGGGGATATTAAATGGTCTCCTCACCTTTCTACCAAAAACCCAACAAACCAACTCGCCCCTCGCCAGGGATGTCAGCCAAGGAGAGGTGGTCCAGTGACACCTGTGGGTGGAGCCTGGCTTTTCTGGTTTGGGGGCGGGAATGCAGCATGCAAATTGCTGGCCCTGTACTTACTTGATGCCCCCACGAGACGTGAAAAATGTAGAGCTTTCAATGTGCAGATGGCTCGCGCTGCTTAATTACCAGCCGAAAGCATGCGAACATTTTCCTCCCTCTCTCTGCCTGCAACAGCCCGCCAGGAGCAGTGGAGGCATTAACAACAGGGAGCGGTTGCCCTTTCCCGCATCCTTATCACACACTAATTATTTTATTCTAAAGAGACAAAGTAGAGAGAATGTAACATATGATTCTGACGACAAATACTTTTTTTAAAAAAAACCAAAACTGTCTGCTTTTCCTAATGACTAGAGCATAGGAGCTGGTTGCTAAGCAACTGGGAAACTGCAGACTCGTGTACTGGCCATGCTGGTTTCGGAAATGAGCCATAAAAGGAATTCCCCAGTGAGAAGGGATCCCATACCATTGGTTGCCATGGACACCATACATAAGTGATGGATCCTGGGTTATAGGCCCTGCTTAAGAAAAAATATGTTACCCCTGCTTAAGGCTTGAGTGGTATGAGAAAGGTATGGAAGCCTTCTTCTCCTGTTATCCGAGTGGGCACGTCCCGGCCCCTTCCCCACGTGCTCCCCTGAAAGAGAGGTCTGAATCTAAGTGGCTGAGACATTCCATCCAATTTCAGCTCTGCTTTTATTTAATATGTTCCAGTCTTTGCTAGCGTTGGAAGGGAGTCTGCAATCTGGAGAGCAAATTTTTAAGCAAGAAAAGATGCCTCGGGTGGCAGACAAGGCTGTCTGTCTGTCTGTCTATCATCCACCCCTGTGTGGGGGCCGCACAGCACCCGAATCAGGCACAAGGGCAACTCTCCCTGTTCACACGTTCTATTGGAATTTTGCAAAACAAGAGATTAGCAGAGAAGAAGACAATAGCCGTGACTCCGAAATGAAATTGGCATGTCATGCAGAGCGAGGCCCACAATAGGCCACTGCAATTCTGTCAGAAATTAGAAACAGACTTCAGATAATAGGAGAGAAAAATGTGAGGCAAATATAAAGACGGGGAGCTTCACATACGAAGATGTGCAGGTTTAGCTGGGCTTCCTGCACCAAACAGCAGAACAGACAGGCCTTGCTGTAACTTCACAGACTACATCCTCACAGACAGGACATTTGGGACACTTGGGACACTCGACTCGAACCCCCAAGTCTCTCAAATGAGGAGACTGAGGCCCCAAAAATAGCAGCAACTTGCTCAAGGTCATAGGAGACAAACAGTTCTGAATGGTGGTCTGTAAAGGACACCTCTGCCTTTTTAACACTGCTGCATAACAAATTACCCCCAAAATGGAGCAACCTGACATTTATTATCCTACAGTTTCTGTGGGTGAGGACTGCAGGAGCATCTGAGCTGGGTGCCTTAGACTTGGGGTCTCTCACAGGCTACAATCAGGATGTCAGAGGTGCTGCAGGCTGGAGTCTCAGGGCTCCGCAGGGGAGGGTCACTCACGTGGTGGTTAGCAGACCTCAGGTCCTCACTGGCTGTTGGCTGGAGGTTTCAGTTCCTTGCTGTGTGGACCTCTCGGTAGGACAGTTAACGTGGCAGCCGGCTTCCTCAGAGCCAAAAAGCACCTAAGATGGAAGCCACAGCCTTTTTTAAACTAAGCTTAGAAGTGACAGCCCACCATCTGGGTCATATTTTATTCGTCAGAATAGAGTTACGAGGCCCAGCCCATACCGAAAGTGAAGGGATTCCATGAGGGAAAGGAGGCGGGGACCACTGGCCATCTCAGAGGCTTCCTGCTGTGATAACCAAGGATGCTTCCGGGATTCAAGATAGGAGAGGGGAGAGCAAGGGTGCCTAGGAAGGGGCAACTGGGGGGAGCTTAAGGGAGGTGATAGATAAATAGGAGGAGGAGAAATAAAATAACAGAGAAGAGAAAGAAAACCTGGTAGAGTAAGAACAGGGAAAGGTGGGGGAAGGGAATTGGGGAGTTGGAACGAAGGACATAGACTGTAAGAAAAGAGAGAAAATAGTTCCTGGGTTTCAGCACCAAAAAAAAAAAAAAAGAAAGAAAAAAGAAAATTGAGAAAACATGCTGGGAGATGGGGGATGAATTGGGAGTAAAGATAGGGGAAGAGAGCTGGGAAGCAAGGAGCCAAGAGCTGAAGCAGACAGTTCAAGAGAACGGGGGGAAAACGCGTAGGAGCCCCAAGGGAACCGGGTCTCATTCTAGGACCCACGGTGCTTTGGACTGTCTTGAGCAGGTATTCAAAAAATTCTGTGGCACGAAACATTTCTCCTGAATCCAGTGAGAAATCCTGCTGCTTTAACTTACTAGCTTCACGGGCAGTGAGAAAAGACTGGCTCTCTCTCCCCGCAGCCCTCCTCTTGTCTCCCGTTGGACTCAGGGCAAATGACTTAGTCTCGCTGGAATGCAGGGTCCTTATCAGTAAAATAGACAGGTTGGCGGGATGATCTTTAAAGTGTTTTTCTAGCTCTGAAGCCTCCCAAATTACCTATCAGGGACTAGAATTAGGAGTCAAAGGAGAAATGGTCAGTGGATCTGATCCAGATACAGGCTGCCACTGAGGCAGATGGGACCTAGAACTGATCTGGGTTCCATTTTGCCAAGATGCCAGTCCACCAGCATAGCGTGCCTCTCAAGGAAAGGTCAGCTCCATTCTTTTGTGGCGACTGTGTGCAAGTAGAGACTCCATGAGCTTAATTCTCCACATCACCAAGATTCCCCTCTGATGCTATGTTAGGAACTCACAGACTCATCAACCCTCAAAACAATAGGACACCAACCGGGCCATGATTGGCTCAGCTGCCAGAGGGCCATTAGGGATACAGACAGCAGCCGGACTCGCCAGGAACACGAGGTTCCAGGGCCTCCAAGCTATGTCATGGGGATTTAAGATGGCTGGGTTTAATCATACTTTTCAGTTGTCAGGAGCTGGTACCTGTGAATAAAGGACACCATCACATACCTCTGGCCCCTGCCTACTTGGGCAAGTTACGAGTGGTAGGTCTGCCACACCATAGTCCACGAGGTACCCAGGGATATGCCAACACTTTCTTTTTGGAACTTCAGCACTGCAATGACAGCAGCACGTCACAAGCTGATGCCATGTTTACAGCCTGTTGGGTTTGTTTTTAACTGAAGTATAGTTAATTTACAATGTTGTGTTAGTTTCGTACAGCAATTCTTTTTAAGATTCTTTTCCATTATAGGTTATACAAGATACTGAATATCATTCCCTGGGCTATACAGTAGGTCCTTGTCATTTATTTTATATATAGTAGTATGTGTATGTGAATCCCAAACTCTCAGTTTATCCTTCCTGTCTTCCCTGCTTTCACCTTTGGTAGCCATAAGTTTGTTTGCTATGTCTGTGAGTGTTTCTGTTTTCTAAGTTCATTTGCATAATGTTTTTAGATTCCACACATAAGTGATATCACATGCTATTTGTCTTTCTCTGTCTGACTTCACTTACTATGATTATCTCTAGGTCCATCCATGTTTCTGCAGATGGCATTATTTCATTTTTTAAGGCTGAGTGATATTCCACTGGGTGTGTTTGTGTGTATATAAAATTTCACATCATCTTTATCCAGTCATCTGTGGATGGACATTTAGGTTGCTTCCATGTCTTGGTTAGTGTAACTAGTGCTGCTATGAATACTGGGGTGCATGTATCTTTTCACATTAGAGTTTTCTCTGGATATGTGCCCAGGAGTTGTTATCACAGGATCATATGGTAACTCAGATTTTAGTTTAAGGAAACTCCATACTATTCCCCATTATGGCTGCAGCAATTTACATTCCCACCAACACAGTACTAGGGTTCCTTGTTGCAGGCACTTTCAAAAAGCAGTTAGGAGGCAAGATTTTGCTAAGCATGGAAATCCACTGATGGTGGGATAAAAGCAAATCTCAAGAATAAAGGCTGTATGTTTACTTCTATATCATCCATTCACTGAAAATGATGAATGGGAGCATTCTGAAAAGGCTCAATATTAATCTATTGGCTGTGGCCACCGGTTCCATTTCCTATTATTTCTGCAGAAAGAAAATATTTTGAAGGAAAGACTTCACTTTCCTAATTATAAGTCTCTAAAAGCCTTTTCTGATTTGAAGAAAATGCACATAGAAGACACTTACCAAAAAAATTGTTTTAGTGACTCTTGGGTGCAAGGGAGAGTCTACCTCCTCACACATAACATACTCGGAGAAGCGAAGTGTAGCAGATGGTCGGTGTCCTGCCCATGCCATTTCATTTGGCTTGGCTTCCAACTGCCAGCATTTACTGTCCAAGAACTTTCTTGGATTTCAATAGTCCCTACCCATCTAGAAGGTAGAGTGCTAGGAAATTATTACCAACCCCCTCCCCACAAGCAGCCTTTCACCAGTGACTGATAGAGCCAGTATATAAATACCCCAGCTTCCTCACCCTCGGGTGGTACAAATCTGAGGTGTCTTCCAGAGATTCCCCAGCAGGATTGCGCCCCACTTGCCCGCAGCAGTAACCTGCTCCAGGATGTATCTTGTACTGACTTCCTTCCCTTCCCCGTATCACTTCCCACTCTTGTGCTGGTGTTTTCTGGCATGATCTCCCTAATAAACCATTTGTACTTAAACCCATATCTCAAGGTCTGCTTCTAGGTGAACCCATGTTTCTGCTGGGGCAATAGGAAGAAACAGGAAAAAAAAAAAAAGATTGTTATTTAAAAGAAGGATTTCTGTAAGCCATGTACTCCCAGGGCGCATTTAAGCGTTTACTTACAGCTCATCACCTTCCTTTACAGAAATGCTATGGGCTAAGTTAGGTAAGAAGTGTTGTCAGCTAAAGATGAAGCAATTGGAAATGGTCATGGAGGTTGCTAGGACCACTGGGTCAATTTACCAAACTTCTCTTTACTCACGACTTTCCTGGTAGGAGAAATGCAGGAGGCTTGTGGTACCCACACTGGATCATCGGGTCTGCCTCCAGCAGCATCTGGTCCCGAGGCTGTTCCAGGGCAGGAGTGGGGGAAGGGAGAGCCAAGACAACATAACTTGAAGAGCAACTGAATAGGAAGCAGCTTACAGCATGTGGGCTCAATTTTCTTCAAAAAGCTCATAATATAACTGTCAAAAATGGCACTATGAACCCAAATTATAAGATAATTATGTTCAGTCCCCAATTCCACACAATAAAGGTTATTTGCTCTCCTGCCCTAGCAACCATCTCATAAGGGGGAGAAAAATATGGTACAAAAACCAAAATGTAAACTCGCAAAGCAGTAATAAAACTGGCACACAACTATTCATTTCAAGTCTATTTTGAAAAGCCCTTGATAATGCCAGTAATTCCCCGTAAAGCTCCTATTCTCTTGCCATGGTTCCCTTCTGCGGACGGAAAAAAGGTTTTGCTCTTCTACAGCTATTCCATTTAGGGAAATAAAGTCCACTTTCTTTCCCAGTTTTAAATGTTTTTCATTCTTAAAAAGAATACCAGCAACCCCTGACCACCTCTGTCTAGCTAAGCCTACCGCCCAGGCAGGGCTCAGGGGCAGCAGCAATGTGAATCCTCGCTTTGCACAACAAAATTCATTTTATGGTCTTAACAAGGTGCTTAAATGTAGCCCAAGAGCCTTGTCCACAAGGTGCTGAAACATTCCCCTAAAAAGGCAGAAAATTCAACCACCTGTCTACCTACACATTTCCAAATATTCTGATGCTTCATAGCATGCCGACCAGGTAGTCTCCCTTTTTTGTCTTGGGTGACACCATGGAGGCCGAGCAACTCCTCTGGGTGCCCCTGGCAGGTGTACCTACAACAGAGGGAGGAAGAGGTGGGGGCTCGAGATACACCCTTGGTTGCAATAACAGAAACTGACTTAGACAAGTTCAAAGAAGAGAAGGGCGATGGTCATATGATCTCACACTCTCCAAGGAAAGGCTGAGCAATCCCAAGGCTTGGGAAGAGTGGGAACCAGCAGCAGTTGCTGTGGGGGAGTGAGGTGGCAGAGAAAGGACGGCAGAGCTGTGTGCAGGGACGGAGGCCCCGAGAAGGGAGTGTGCGGGCGGGCAGTTGGTCCCTTTCCTATAGGAAGACCAAAAGGAAGGTGAGGAATGAAGTAAAGTAATAGGAACCAAAGAGAAAAGGAAGATATGCATTAACTGAGGAGTGATGAAACAGCATCAACAAATGCTTCAGGGGGAAAAAAAAAAAAGCTTCAGCCAGACGTCAGCAGCTCACTGGCACTGAAGATCAGCCGTGCCCAGTGCAGCAGCAGCTGGCGGAGGACTGCAGGTACAGAGCCCTTCTAACATGCCCACATTGGTCCTCCTGGTTTCATGGACTAATTTTAAAGAAAGTTGTGTCAGTTGAAAGGATGTGCATGATCTTGATGAAGCCCATGTACTTTTCACGCTGAAGTTTTAAGGCTTTAAAAACTTGGCTTAGGTGTACGATCGACGTCATCCATGACTGTATTCTGGGCACTCTGAAGTTTCTTCCTGCAACTGATGTGGACTTGAGTTGCCTTCACTAGGTTTCTTTTTACATATATGGCAATCATTCTGTGTCCCAAGGTATATGCTCTAAACGTTAATAAATCAGTGCTTCAAGTCCACTTCAGTTTTTATCAGGAATGTTTCCTGAACACCTATGATGTTAAAAGCACTGTGCTGACTATTTATGTGGTTACAGAGTTTGAGTAAGTTGTAGCCCTGCCTCTGTGGATCTTGTAATCTGGAAGTGGAGACAGTGAGTGGAGGGGGAATTAGACACAATTAGACATTTATACCCGCAACCACAAGACACTCAGGTCTTATCTGCTTCAACAGAGTCTCTGCTTTAAACCTCTTCCAGCTCCCTGATCAGAGCCTTTGGCCACCCTTCATCTGTTATACCTCCCCCGAACTAAATCTTACCCATCCTCTCATGCTGCTCATTCCAGAACCACACCATCTTGTCAGATCCTCGCATAGCACGTGATCTCTTTGGAACCTCTGCAGCCTTTGTGTATTCCAGTGTGAGGGAAGTTATCACTGGAGGTGAAGTGGTGCCTGTAAGATACCCTGAGTCAGCTGGCTCCGTGAACATCCCCCAGGGAGGCTGTGAACACTGGGAATTTGCCTGAGCTGCTGCGCACTCACACCCTTTTGCTATTCAGACACTTACTCTGCTGTCATTCCTGGCTTCATTTGGGACTTCATGTTTCTGATTCCTCCTGTAAGAGTTCTCCATGCTTTAATCAGGCTGGAGGGAGTGTGTGTGCATGCACACAGGTACCAAAGGGGAAATGATCATTCTTATGGGCTTCATTCCCTCTCTTGCTTTCCTGTCCACAGCTGCCTCTTAAAATCCAGGTGAGGGATGGCTGCATGCCATACAGGTGTTGATGGATTTACCTCCATCAGTCCTGCCCTTGGAGAGAGGCTTGACCAAGGACAAGATCGGCCTAGTGATTGTGAAAATACTCTGTTGTTGGCCTTACAGGAGGGTGTCTCATGCTGGAAACCCTGTCCCCGGAGATCTGAGTACTATAGCTTCTGCTTTCCTTCCCTCTGCCCTGATTCCAATGCAGATAGGAATCAAATGCCCTGGATTTTCCAGTCTGCCTGTTGTCAGCATCAATGCTTGCCGATTACCCAAGGGTCCTCACAAGACACCGCTGGCCCACAGCCCAAGTTCCATGGGGGTAGCAATAAACTCTTACCGCTTTGGAAATGCAGCTCTCAGCACAGACCCTGGCCATAAGCATCTGATTCTTATCAGAGGCTGAAGGACAGGTTTTACCAGAGCTCCCATGCCCAAACTTGAAAAGCAAGTTCATCTGCCCTTTTACCACACTCACTTGGGGGTTCCATCCTATTCTTGAGAAAAGGTCAATGCTCCACCACTATAATGACTCTTGAGATCACTGTGTGACCTAGTGACCACTGGCTGTTGGTCACCGAGGCTGACCCACTGCATCAGTTTGCCTGGGATTTAGGACGCTCGATGCTAAACATGAGAAAGTCCCAAGCAGCCCGGGACAAGTTGATCACCCTGACTAGAACTGACCTTGTCCACTTAGACCAGTTCCCCAGCGTGCGCGGGACCTACACCTCAGCCAAAATCCATGGGGGACAAAGAAAGAAGTGCTTCTGGAACCGCAGGCTGCAGCTGTTCTTGCCTTATTCAGAACCCTTTTGTGTGCACAGGATAGTCTTCCTCCCCCTAGACTTGGATGGGGAAGGAGCAGGGAAGAATATGACAGTTTCATCATCACCATGTCCCTGGACTGTATTCTAAGTCTTATCAAAAAGGAATGTGGTTAGTTATTTGTTGATTGGGAAATAAATGACTGGTACAGAATTGGGCCATGGACCTGGAACACCCAAACCTCCCCTCCATCATCCACTCCTTCCTGCAAGGTCATGAGGGGATCTATACTGACTGAGGACAGAGTGAGGCAGAGGGACACTTTCTGTGGCTGGCATTTTGGCCCCAAACCCCATCATCAAACTCAGTGAAGTGGCTTGAGTCATGGATAGGGCTCACTCTGGCTGAATCAGAATCAAAGCACCTATCGAGTTCTCAGGTCAAACCACGCTGATGCGAGGAAAAGCCACACCAGGAAAGTCACCTGTGAGCAGGGCCAAAGAATTAGGAAGGGGAACATGAGCAAGGGAGCATTTGCCCTGATGGCCAAAGGTGGGTGTCCTAGCCAGGGCACTGGGAATCCTACCCCTCCTATTGCTCACGCCCCCGGCAGCAGAATCAGGCAGTGGCTGGGGCTCCAGGCCACGCCTTCTTTTCCTGGAATCCTTACAGACGCAAGATGCAAAGAGAGACTATACATGTGCTCTGGGACCTTTATTTAAAAAGCTCTGTCTCTGTGTCCATGGCCCATTAAAATGTCCTAAGTTGACCAATTTATTGAGCTTGTCTCCTTTTGTGGGAACTGAGTTTCCCCCGTTTTGAAAGCCATTTTTGTGTAAGTATCCACAGGACTGGTGGTCAAGACCCTGAGCTTCAGCGTTTTTAAGGATCTCTGTGATTGACTTAAGGCAAAACATTTAACTTCTCAGCTTCCTCGCCTGTAAAATTGAATGGACTAACTTTTGGACACTAAAGTTTCTTCCAGCTTTAATATTCATCTCTCTCTCCCCTCAACCCCCTTCTCTCTCACACACATGCTTATTCTGCTTTATTTCTGGGCATTAACTCTGAATGCTATGCCAAACCATATTAGAGCCAGAGGCAAAAAGGAACAGTCGGTAATACCTGTCCTCTCTTTAAATATTAATATTTTATTCATGAATTTTTTGCATTAATTTGGATTTTAATGCAATATTTAAAACCTTGGCGCCTGAATTTTTGGTGCCCCCTAGGCCAGTGCCTCACCTGCCTCACCCTAGTCCCAGCCCTGTCAACCGTCTCTAACTCTGGGTGATGACGGAAGAAGGGACAGTCACAGGCAGAAAGAAGAGACTAAATGCAACCCACTTGACAAAGTTACCGAGGGCCAGCCATCGTGGTTATTTTATTATCAGTAACCCACCTATAATTTCTACTTATTTGTTTTGTTTCCCCTAGACTAACAATTCTTTGAATGGGGGACCCTCACATCTTTTTTTTTTTTTAATCCTACTCTCCATGTGCCAAATGCCCAGCACAGTTAAGCACTGAATTATTAGAACAAAATGACAAACCACGCACTGAATTCTCGATTTCACACTCACCCTTCTCTTGACCTTCCATGAGACAACTATCTCTCGTTAAAAAATTTTTCTAAGTTCAGACAATAACAGCCCAAGTAGCTGGAAGAAAACCAGAAAAGTGAAACAGTGGTTCTTACACAGGGTTATCCGATAACAAAAAAGAAATGTGAGTTTTATTCCTCGCTTTTTTCTTTCAGAGTCGAGAGGAGCAGAGGGAGGTAAAACACAGATGAACAAGCTTCATGGGCCCGAGAGAATTTCAGAATGTCCTCACTCGGAGGAAGGTCACCAATCTTGGGCCTAATAAACCCAAGGATGCCTGTCACCCACTGGCCAGCAGCAGGGTCTGCGGGCAAACATGTTCTAACTGCACAAACCTGGGCTTGGGGCGGAGGGCAAAGGACCTAGGATTGAAAGAATATCTGCAAAGTCTGCGTTGGAGGACGTTTCAAAGGAATTTTCTTTCTTTCAATTAGATGCATTAAAGACTGGAAGCTATAAAACTGGATTCGTGCCAAAGTGCTGGCAAGTCTTTATCAAGTAAATAAGTGATCATGGGTGTTCGGGTGCTGTAGGGCGGGAAAGCACTCAATTGTGTTCTCTTATTTGGCTACTAACTGGCTGTGTGCCCTTGAGCAAATCACTTGCCCTCTCTGTGCTTTAGGTTCTTTATCTATAAAAGAGGGTGTTGGACTAAGACAGTTGCTAAGATCCCTGCTACCTCTGACATCAAATAGGAGAAGCGCTACTGAAGGCTGAGGGAAAGTTTGTTAAAAATTCCTTCTCTTGTCCTTCTGCCCTGCTAGCCTTTTCCATCAAGAGTGTCAAATTCTTAATTAGTAGGTTACCAAACATGACGAAGGCAAAGCTTTACTATATACATTTGGGAGGAAAGAAGGTTTACCTTTTTAAAGGGGAGAAACAGAGCTTGCTTAGGAGTCTAACTGAAGCAAGTTACACCCCCACAAAAACGAGATGGAAGCATGAAAGATGGTGAAAATCTGGGATTCTGTGCAAGTGAAAAACAAGAGCCATGTTGGTATTTTTAAAAAGAGTCTCATTCCGTTTGCAACATCTTTGTGCCTCCTTTATGGATTTCTCCATCTTTTCCAGCTCTACAATGAGCTATTTTAAGACTGTTTTCCTTCTCTACAGTAACACTGTTCAGATAGCAATTTAATTGTCATCATACTTTCTCTTAGTCTTTCAAGACCTTTCATTATGGTAAAATAATTTTAGGCACACTGAGCATACATCCATTAAATACTTTCCTTATTTCACTAATGAACTCTTATAGGTGGTAAAAATTAACTTCATTCCACCCATGATATTCACATATCTGTTAAATTTTTATAGTTGAGAAACGAAGGTTGCAACTAACTGAAGGCAAATGAGAATCTCCTCTCAAAATGTTAAGTCTGTTGTTTCATTTTTGCCAAGTTGTAGCCGAAGAAAAGCCTATAAAAATACTTCACAAAATGAAAATGGCTCAACAGGTCCAATCTCAGGGTTGATGTTGCAAAAAGTGTTTTACAGGCCGGAGATGCTTAGGACTTAGAAGGCGCCCATGTTAACGCATTGGAAGGGAATCTGAGCAGATGTTTTTAAGCTTCATCCCAGGGGGCCAATCACTAGCACGCTTGCGTGGGACTGACATCAAGGTCCTGGACTGAATCGCCACCCAGCTCAGCCAATGTAGCTTAATTCCCTAGCTCTGGCTATAACCCTAACATCTCTCTGCCATTTTACATACCCCTATGGGACGTTTCAAGCGAGAAGGGTGGAGGATGGGGATGGGGTCAAACCCTGCCCTGCAGCATGGAAAGGAACTCCAAGCTCAGGCTCTACCCACTGAGAGATGCCACTTTGACACACGAGGGACAACACATTCTAACGGTGACGGTCAGACCCATTAACTCCAGTTGGAAGGCGCACTGAAAAGGAAAACAGAAATCATCCCATCACATTGGTGACAATAATGATCCTGTTGGTAAGAGGGGTTGGGAGTGGAGGCGAGGGATGTGCCTTCAGAGAAAAAGGGCAAGAGCCAGAGTTCTCTTTAGGGAGACAGGACAAATGTCATATGGCAAGAAAGGTCCATGGACTGTCCCTCCAGAGAAATATTTCCAGAACCATCAAGGGCCTTGACAACTGAAACTGGGATTTAGTAAGTGCTTCCTTACTTAGAATCAGTCCCTTTCAGAGCCAGCTCTGATCTACTTAACGTCGGTGCCTTAGGTAGAAGGAGCGGTATATGGATTTTTCTTCAGTCAGATTCAATTCCAGTTTCTGTCTTTAAATGGGTGCAAACTGCTCCAAAGTGTTCCACGAGCCTGGTGCCTTAACCCCACTTCTCGTCTTTCCTTCATCTCTTATTCTGAATTTTTCCCCTCATTTCTCTCCCCCTTTCTTTCTAAACCCCAAATGGTGGATTGATGAGAGGACACAATAGTAAAAAGAAGACTGTGTAAGAGAAGACAGACAGAAGCCCCTCCAGTCACGTCCCGTGGCCTGGACGGAACCACTAAGGAGGGTCTAAACACCGATGCGGAGTTTAGGGCTTAACAACGTAACCAGGAGGCTCAGTGACCACTCTCAAGAAAAAAATGAAGAAGAGAGGAATGAGAAGGCAGTTGTCATATTTTTTCATTTTATAGAAATCATTATTTCACTGCACTCCCATTTATACATTCATACACACAACCTGATACCTATATATATATATATACATGGCAGTATACATATATATATATATATATGGCAGTGAGCCATGTAGGACTGCAGAGAATTATAAGTGGAGTCTGCCTTAAAAAAAAAAAAGGTTTCGCTCTTCGAGTGACAGTAAATTGGATAAATGCTATTTTTAGATGAAATATATCTAACTCATATCCAGATGTGATTCCACCACATGAAGAGAAAAACAAATCTATCTAAAGCACTGAGCTGTACTTGAAAATATTTTTTAAAGATCTCTGGCAATAATGATTTATCATGGAAAGGCTCAGACACGTGGTACTGACCACCAGCCTCTGCAGCGGTTCCCTTGGGAACAGCATCTGCACACATGGCTTCAACATGTCGATGATCCCAAGGTTTACATTCCTGATTTAATTGTTACGAACTCTCTGGGCTCGCGACTTGTGGGCAGTGTATTTCCCCATGAGCATAAAGGACTAAGGGGAGAAGAACAAACGGGTTGGGATTTCTGGGCTAAGCCAGTGGGGTCCTCAAACGCCTGGTGTCTCGAGGGGTCATCTGCTTGTTCAAAGGATGCTGCTCCCGCACCAGACATTCTCAGAAGTCCTCCTACCCATTCAGTCGGCAAATATGATTAAGCACCTACCATTTTCCACACTGAGCACCAAGTGAGGAGCAGGACAAACACAGCCCCTGGCCTCATGCTTATAGTCTGTAGTCTGGAATTCTTCTGGGGCCCCAATTACAAGTCACAAGAGAAACTCAAATCTTCTTACTTTAGTGACAAATAGTGGTGTCCGGTTTGATCACAGTCTTTGCTATCATGAGTGACCTTGAATATTGTCCGGCCACTTGAAATGTCAATCCCTGAAATACAGTTCCCAAAATATAGAATATTTTGAAGATATTCAAAACAACGGGAATATGGGCTTTAAGGGAAGAGTTACATAGAAGTGCTTGGGTAGGGGCATCATCCCTGGAATAAAGGCGTGGCCTCTCCAAGTGATTCTTTCTGCAGTTTATGCTCCTGCAAGGGAGTGAGGACGTCTGCCAAGGACAGCCCCAAGGTGGCAGGGAGGAGGCAGGGTGAGAGGGTGTGGCAGGGAACTAGGCGGGGCAAGTTGGGCAGGTGATAAAAAAATCCCTGGATAGAGGAAGGAGTAGAGGATAAAGGCAGTAAATGAGGGCAGTTTAGGAAGACTTGAGCCCAGATGGTTAGAGAACC